GGGGGGGGGGCGCTGATGTCAGGCTGTCCCTCCTCCCCCAGTCCTGTACTGTCTCCACACAGAGAAGGGGATGGAGGGAGCTTGGCAATTCAAATCCTGTCACTCGCATACACTGTGTCTCTTGTACACACACACACACACACACACACACACACACACACACACACACACACACACACGCCCGCGCTGTCCTTCCCTCTCCTCTCCTGACCCAGCACACACACACACACACACACGCGCTGTCCTTCCCTCTCCTCTCCTGACCCAGCACACACACACACACACACACGCGCTGTCCTTCCCTCTCCTCTCCTGACCCAGCACACACACACACACACACACGCGCTGTCCTTCCCTCTCCTCTCCTGACCCAGCACACACACACACACACACACGCGCTGTCCTTCCCTCTCCTCTCCTGACCCAGCACACACACACACACACACACGCGCTGTCCTTCCCTCTCCTCTCCTGACCCAGCACACACACACACACACACACGCGCTGTCCTTCCCTCTCCTCTCCTGACCCAGCACACACACACACACACACACGCGCTGTCCTTCCCTCTCCTCTCCTGACCCAGCACACACACACACACACACACGCGCTGTCCTTCCCTCTCCTCTCCTGACCCAGCACACACACACACACACACACGCGCTGTCCTTCCCTCTCCTCTCCTGACCCAGCACACACACACACACACACACGCGCTGTCCTTCCCTCTCCTCTCCTGACCCAGCACACACACACACACACACGTGCGCTGTCCTTCCCTCTCCTCTCCCGACCCAGCACACGTGCACACACACACACACACACACACACACACACGCTGTCCTTCCCTCTCCTCTCCTGACCCAGCAGACCCACACACACCCACCCACACACACACACACTCACTCACTCTCTCTCTCTCCCGACCCAGCACACACGTGGATGGTTGTTGTTACTTTTACTGCTCACAAAGTGGGTTCGTTTTGGTTTGACTGGCCTGTGCATTTCATCATTTTCATTTCTCTCTTACGCTTATATTTCAGTCTTCTCGAACGCTGAACCTGGCGTGGCTGGAGTCCTTCTCCCTGTGCTAATTGCTGCTCCTGGCAGTGGCTGGCATGTCCCTGCAGTCCTGAGAGAGGCAGGGCAGGGGGTCTCCACATGCCGGCCTTGCCTGCAGACGCCACTCCTGCAGCTCCCATTGATCAATACCAGGAACGGTGGTCAGGAGAGGCTGTGGGCTGTGCTGGTGGATGAGGGGCAGCACATGGAGCCATTGCTGCACATGCCGGCTGCTTTCAGGAGCGGTGCAGGTGCAGGGCCAGGACAGGAGTCAGCTGCCTTAACCCCACTGCTCCCCCACCCGGAAGGCATCTCAGTGACACGGTGCCCAGCCAGAACCTGCTTCCTGAACCCCTGTCCCAGCCCTGAGCCCCCTCCTGCACCCAACCTCCTGCCCCAGACGTGAGTCCCCTGCACCCAAACTCCTTCCTAGAGCTTGCACCCTGAAACCCCTCCTGGACCCCAATCCTCTACCCTGGGCTAAGCCCCAAGCCCCTCCCACACTCCAACCCCTTGGCCCAAGACCAGCGCCTGCACCCCTCAGCCTGGTGAAAGTGAGTGAGGAAGGGGGGTGGAGTGAGCAGGGGGAGGCCTCGGAGAAGGGGTGAAGCACGAGCAGGTCCCCAAAGAAGGGACAGGAAGGAAGCGGAGCCAGGGTGTCTGGGTTTGAGGTAGATCTTAGACGGCACTTCAATTCCAAACGTGACCTTGTGGTTAAAAAGGTTGGAGAGCCCTGCTCTAGGGAAAGTAGCCAGCCCAGCTGTTGCTCCCCCTCTCCGCTGCGTCACCGAGTCTGCCACCCCCTCGGTGCAGAGTTGTCTGGCTGTGCAGCCAAATGGGATCCCTCTGCTCCTCTGCCCACTACCCCAAACTTCCTAGGCCCCAGCGGGTCCCTCTGAATTCCCCTTTCAGCTCCTCAGCCTTTGGGGGTTTAAATGCCTGTGCCAACCCGTTTCCTGGCTCCCTTTCTGTGGGAATCCTGTGGCTTCCAACTCCAGCCCTGCAGACATACATGGCCATGTGGTTTATCTGACGTCAGGCAGCCAGTGGTCCTGGGGCGCTCCCACCGGAATGGGGATGAGGCCGGAGTAAGGAGCCTCCCTGGTTCCTGGATTAGGAGATATTGCAGCGCAACCTGGACAGCACATGGAGAATTCCACTTGAATGGAGGCAGCCAATGGTACCGCAATTCCGTATGTAACCCCCTTTTTCCTCCCCGGGTTACTCGGGAGCAGGTCACACTCACAGGTGTGCCTGTGCGCCTGATGGTTTTAACATAAAAGGAGATCCTGAGTACCCCAGTGGTGATGTTGTTTAGTTGGGGAAAACCTATCCACACCCTTGCTGCAGTCCCTGGCTCATAAAGAACATACAGTGGTGGTGCCTTCACCTGGCTGGCCCTGTACACTCTTCATGGTGTGCCTTGGGAGCCTCCAGGAATAAAATATTCCAACAATAATCTGGATCTAACTCCAGGACAACAACTATGAATAATATACATCTAACTGATTACATTAAAATGAACACACCTTTACTTAACAACTTAAAGAAACAGGCTACGTCTACACTGGCATAATTTTCCGGAAATGCTTTTAACGGAAATGCTTTCCGTTAAAAGCATTTTCGGAAAAGCACGTCTAGATTGGCAGGACACTTTTCTGCAAAAGCACCTTTTGTGGAAAAGCATCCGTGGCCAATCTAGACGCGCTTTTCCGCAAAAAAGCCCCAATCGCCATTTTCACGATCGGGGCTTTTTTGCAGAAAACAAATCTCTGCTGTCTACACTGGCCCTTTTGCGCAAAAGTTTTTCGGAAAAAGACTTTTGCCCGAACGGGAGCAGCATAGTATTTCCGCAAAAGCACTGACAATCTTACATGAGCTCGTCAGTACTTTTGCGGAAATTCAAGCGGCCAGTGTAGACAGCTGGCAAGTTTTTCCGGAAAAGCAGCTGCTTTTGCGGAAAAACTTGCCAGTCTAGACACAGCCACAGGGTTTAACAGATTAACAGTGAATAACATTAACAAAGTACACAGAAGCAACAGGAATTTTATCTAGCTGGCATTTGCACTACCACCATCTATCTCACCCCAGAGTGTGCACTCCTCTGGACTCAGAGTCCCTGATTCTTGCTTGCGTGGGTATGTTTGAAGGTCTGCAGCTGGAGTAGAGGTTCTCTGTAGTGTGTGTGTGTGTGTGTGTGTGTTAGTCCCAGCTGTGCAGCCAGCTGCCACTCCCTCTGCCACTGGAGCAGGTTCCACCAAATGCCAGCAGCTCTGGTTCACTGGACTGGACACTCTGCCTCTCTTTGGACTCAGAGTTAGTCTGTATCTCTGAGGTCTGTCCCTGTCAGCACTTTCCCAAAGAACCCAGTTACTTACAGCCTCCTCCTGTGTGCTGGTTGTTGTGCAGTTCTCCTCAGCCACAGGTGCAGCCAGAGTCTCTCCCCTCTAGGGCAATCAGCAGCCTGCTAGATGCAAGCACCACAGACTTTCAGTCCCAGGCTGTAGCCGCAACACAACAGCTCCTGGGCTGGATAGAAGGCTCTTCCACAGCAGTCTGGCTCCCCTCTCCCAAAATGGAGAGCCCCAGACTCAACATTCCCAGACAAGCCCTCTCTTCCTGGTTTCCTCAAGGGCTCATGGGAGTTGTAGTCTCTAGGGCTAGATTGCAGCACGTAGGATCCTCCCAGAAAAAGTCAAAGGCACCTTTAGTAAGGGGACTACACGTAGCATCACCCAGAGTTCATAGATTGTCTCTCACCCCCGCCCTGAGGTGGTATGCGGCTCACACCAGATTCCCCGGCAAGCAACGTGGTGTGCGCCCCCTGTTATTATTTCTGGCAGAGGGTGTGGGGGAGAGTCATTCAGGGCCCCGACATGAAATTTGGAAATTAAAAGTCCAACCTTCTCTAGGGGACAGGCCATGGGACTTCCAGGGTTCCAAACCCAGCAGGCACTCACCAAAAATCATGAGACTGGCATTAGAAAGTGGGATTGTATAAAAATACCCAATGTGGGGTTCTCATCTGCCTCCTGCTTTTTGAGCTAAAGGCTTCCCCCTAATCATTTCGATCCATGTGTGGAATAATTTGATGCACACTGAGGCATGTGCAAATGTGCACCACCAGTAGAAACAAAACCCAGCTGTGGTGCTCTGCTAATCCGCTGGGTGGCACTGGAATCTCTCCTGAATGTCTGCCCAAGTGCCCAGCGTACAGGGAACCCTGCCTGTAGGACGCCCCGGGGTCACTGTTGGACGCTTTCTCCACAGCCGCCAGGACAACACACGCACCTTTTCTGTAAGAATGAAGGCTGAGGGCCCCACAGGCCACGTGACTCCAGGAGCTGGCGCTTTAAGGAAAACACTAATGATCATGGAAGCTGGTTACACTGGTTGGGCTGCAGGAGAGGGTGAGGGGGGCAGGCCCTGGGAGGGAGGTTGGGTGTGGGGGGGGCTCAGGGCTGGGGGACGGAGTCCGGGTGCAGGAGGGGTTGGGGTGCAGGCTCTGGCCTTACTTCAGGTGACTCTAAACCCCGGACAGCAGGGCAGCACCGCTAAGGTGGGGGTCCCCCTTGCCCGTGCTCCTCGCT